ATTGATAAGAAAGAATAAACTCTAATGGGCTGCGAATTATTATAATCTTAACTAGGGTTCAGTCCAGCACAAGGCGCGGTTAGAGATGCCTTGAGAGCCTCAGCAATTTGTAACAGTATATGCTCCCAAAATGACTCATAGTAAGCAACAAGAGTTAGTCATATGTATTTCTCTCGCAATACTGGCTACCTGCTGCTGTTCTCCCAGACTGTGACTGTAAATTGCTTCCGGCATGGCATATTAATATTGAGCAATTGAGGTGAACTAAAAATATATATGTATATTTAAATTTGTCTAAAAGGCAACTCTAGTTTTTTTTATACTCCTCGCAAGTATCATGAATTCAATCTAACTGCATCACGTAACACATCGCCCCCTGCAAGGAGCTTTGAAAAGGGGGAAAGAAACAAAAAACAAACAATCGTGAGTCAATTTGAATTCGCTTTCTTGCATTTGCCTTCTGGTAAACTCGATCAGTTTTGGGTGTGGCTGCAGCCTCAGAGATTCAGTGAATGAAAATGGGAAAACTAGGCAAAGCCAGTTGAGAGCAAAAGCGCCTATCCAATGCAATTGTGGGTTAGTGGGTAAATGAACAACAATGCATGCCAGCAACAGTTGCTGTCGCTAGAGTCGCTGTGACGTAGCAATTGCATTATATGCTTGCCATGAACTGGTTGGCGGACAAAACAAAAGACTTGGACAACAAATTTCAAATTCCGAAAAAAAAATTTAAATAATTAAAAATAAAATTAAGTATTACATTTTTACATCGTTCCCATCGACACTTTGTAGTAAAATTAATTTGTTGTCTGTATTTTATCTAATTAATATATTAAAAAAAAATAAAAATAAATAATTAAAAATAAAATTAATTATTATACATATCCACATATGTTTCCATCTAGTAAATATATAATTATATACACATACATAGACTGTAAAAAATTAATGAGTTTTAAAATAGTAGCATGAGGAAGTTGAGTGCCAATTCAAACTGTTTTTGCTTCATTTATTTTTTTTTATTATTAATAAAATTCTAAAATCAAACAATAGACACTAGACCAAGCCACACACCTCAAAAAAATGATCTTTTAGTTTTGTTCACGTTCTCGAGGCGTTGGCCCCAAATTGATGCCGTGCTGAGCTGCAGTTCTACGCTATAATTTCGAGCTACACTTTCAAATTTTATGATGTTTGCATGCAAAAAAAAAAAAATCGCAGCACTGTGAGAAACTTGGGCATGAACGGATTGCATGATTAATGGGCCATAGCTAATGACCAATGACATAATGTAATGACTTAAGCTCTGTCACTTTGGCACTTGCACTGCCCTCAATTAGTTCAAACTAACTACAACAATTGCAGCAACAATCCGTAACCCGCTGTGGCAAGCAGCGTCGCAAATCGTGTCAAGTTCAGTTCAACTGCTGTGGCATCAAGTTGGCATTTCGCAGTCAAAAACTCATCCATAAAAGAAAAACACGAAACGAACTCGTTTCTGGGCCAGCAGCTGGCCAATAGAATTGACTTATGTCTTGGTATTTCTATAGCTATCATATGCTTTACTACTCAATGGGAAGTCAGTGACAAAAAGCGGGTATATTGGTTTCCAGATTAAACATGAAATAGTTGAAAGAGAAGAAGTTAAAAGTAATTTAGTTATAGCTTAGGATATTCACTCGAATTCGCTCAAACAGATAACTGATAACAGAGCTCACACAGAACTGTTACTTAACAGTCGGATCAACGTGGCTGCTCGCTGTTATATTAGTTGCGCATGTTAGAGTATGCGAAGTTTCTCATTTCATTTGTCAACCTGGTTAAGCAGCTGTTTAGTCAAGTCTCCTCAGTTGCCAAGCCCCGTTGACATTTTGCAACATGACCGAAACGAGTTACGCACGCTTACGCACGGTGCCGTTATATGAATGAAGTGTGGTTGGCTGAGAGCATGGCTTGTCGCATTTTATTATTGGCCATGGCCCCTCTCGTTCACAGTCAAGGCAAACGCAATCTCTCTGGCAGTGCAACTGATTTCATATGGAGTGCTGTACATATGTTTTAATTAGAGATTAAATTTTGACTGAGGTGAGCATTGCATTAGTTTAGCTTAATAAAATACTAGCAATTTAGCAGATTAAATATAAGCTGCAGGCGACTGGTTACTGAGGAGCTCTGTGCTAGATAAAAAAAAAGGATCTGATATGCTGAGAAACCGGTCCATAAAAACAGCCGAAGGCAGAAGGACTGCATTCTCTGAACAGCAGAGGGATATGATTAGCTAGAAATAGGATGAAATGAGGTTAAAATTGGTCTGGAATTGGTCTAAATGCCCTACAGTGTCTAAAAAAGGCTTCAATGAATTTAAATGAAAAAATATATACATATGTATGTATGCAAAAAAAAAACTTTATCAAAACTTTTACACATACTTTATACTGGTGTTCCCCGTATGGCTTCATAAAAGTTCAAAATATAAATAAAATGTATTTTATTTATTTTGTATATTTATTTTAAGCGCTGAATCTGTACAATGCAAGTTTAGTACCTTAACAACACAATTAGATATTTATATAGAACCTAACCTTCTGATGTATTCAGGAGGACTTACAAATATATATTTACAAGTATCCTTAAACTAAACTTATCTAATATTTTTGGCAAAACCCAAAAATAAAACTGGAAATAAACGGCGCCGCCTGAAAGTATGCAACAAAATATTTACTTACGATTCATTTTCGCTAATGGCAGCAGCAATTGCATACAGGTCCTGCAAAATCGTGTATTGCGGCAAATTACAAACTGCCCATGGTATGTGCGCGGCTCAACTCTACATCGAGATCTGAAACTGTTTACTGTGGAGGAACAGATTGGGAGACACACTAGCCGATATAGTGACAGACTGGCTAGACACCGGAGCAGACTAGCGAGAAGATTGCTTCCTGCGAGACCACTAAGGCGATTAAAACGCTTGGGTTTTGCCAAAAATATTAGATAAGTTTAGTTTAAGGATACTTGTAAATATATATTTGTAAGTCCTCCTGAATACATCAGAAGGTTAGGTTCTATATAAATAATCTAATTGTGTTGTTAAGGTACTAAACTTGCATTGTACAGATTCAGCGCTTAAAATAAATATACAAAAAAAAAAAAAAAAAAAAAAAAAGCAGCAATTGCGGTTACATTAAATAATCTATATTGACAAAAATGTTGTTAAATTATAAACAATATAATAAATGTGAATAATCTGAATTAAGCATAATAATAACCCTAGAAGAAAGTCAAGGAGAGGTTATATTTAAATGCCTTAAGAGTCACATACATGTATTATTTCTATTTGAACAGAGGTCAAATTCTTGGAACTAAGCATTTCTCCTTGTAGACAGCTCGGATGAATGGCACTAAGAAAGTGAGCATGAGATCTAGTTGGAGTACCTTTTTTATGGGCAGGTGATAAGACAAGCAAACGTTGATGCTGCCTCTGGCTTATCTAAATTGAAGTTTCGGCAAGGTTAAGTCGAAAATTGCTGCCGAATTTCATATTTAAGCAACTGAAGTCCAAGAATGAAGCAATGTGAAAATGTCTACGACTGAGGTGAAACTATTTGGCTGCCTGCTGCAGCTGCTCTGCCTGGTCGCCATAGCCAAGGCAACCTGTAACGTGTGCAATCCGGTCAACAACATGACCTGCTATTCGTCTAGCCAATTTCAAGCTTGTGATGCAAATGGTTTGCCCTCTCGCCTACCCACCAGCTGTCCCGCCGGCTACTCGTGCGTGAGTGGTGCGAGTGGTGTGCTCTGCCTGCCGAATAACAGCACCACCATAGCCGATTGCCAGGACTGCAACAAGTGCGATGCTAACCTGACCTTTGCCTGCACCTCGACTAGCACCTTTGCCCTCTGCCTGGGCACGACCACGCCCCAGAATTCAAGCGGCAGCTGTGCGGCCGGCTATGTGTGCAACATGAATGCCACACAGATCTGTGGACTGGAGACGCAGGTGACGCCCACCTGCTCATATGCAGATGATCCCACAACAACAACAACAACGACAACGACAACACCGGCGACAACAGCAGCAACAACAACAACCGCACCAGCCACGCCCTCGCCAGAAAATCCCAACACCTACTGCTCGGCTATCCGAGCCCAGGGCTACTATCCAGCTGGCGATTACGCGGAGACAACTTGTCGGCAGTACATCTATTGCTACCTGTCAGGTGGCGTTTGGCGAGGACAAAGATACAACTGCCCAGGCCGCACGTACTTCAGCCCAACGATGCGAACGTGCGTTACCGCAATGCCTGCGAACTGCTATACACCCACCTTCACCACCACAACCACCACCGTGGCTCCAACCACTAGCAATCCGGACGCCTATTGCGCCAAGATGCAGGTCCAGGACACTTTTCCCGTTGGCACCATTGCCAGCAGCACTTGTCGCCAGTACGTCAGCTGCTTCCGGCTGGGCAACAACTGGCTGGGCCAGCTGTACACCTGTCCGGGCAACACCTACTACAGCAGTGCCACCAAGAAGTGCGTTACAGCGCTGCCCGCCACCTGTACGAGTGGCATAGCCAGCCTTAGTCTAAACGGTGTAGACCTGGAGTAAGAATTAGCATATGAAATGCTTATAGAAGTGAAGGCCCCAGTTTCCATTGCTTATTTTTATGTTAGTTTTATTATAAAAAGAATCAAAATAAAATGAATAAGAGCTATAATCATTCTTATCGTTATCATTGTCCTTGAGCTGCACAACGTTATAATTATTATCATAATTTTCTCTTTCATTAAACTCTTTCCTGAATGATCTTAGCCAGGCAGTCATTTTTAATTTGCCGCCTGAAAGTATGCAGTGAAATTTTTCTTCGATTCCATTTGTCTATGGCGCAAAATAAAAAAAAAAAAAAACATCAGTGCGTATACTTAATTCTTCGCGACAGCACCCTATATAGGTCTGTATTTAAATATATCAGCATAATTATAAACAAAATATATAAATATATATTTGTATATATATTGTGTGTATTTAGATAAATACGAGTTAAACGTAAACAAGAGATCTATAGTAAGGTATAATGTATATATGTATAATGCATACCTTCATAAGCTATAAACTTAATGGCTATCACAAGCTGAAAATATCTTATCTTAATAGAAGTGAAATTCGTAGAACTAGTGAGTGGGCATATAAAAGTATTTTGTATACCCTGTTTGGTATTAATTTTGTTTAAAAACAAGTTCAACTTGTTAACGCTGCACATTTATCCTTGCAGACAGCCGGGACGAGTGGCTTTTACAGTGCCGCAGCACCGAGTCCAGCCATTGAAGTAGGGATTCGCTGCAGGACAATCCATAATGCGACCCACCCATGTATTTATATAGAAACGACAGTAGATGTAGCTAAAGAAGAGCAAATAGAAGGAACATATATATACACATGTAAGCATATATATTTATGGAAAGTAAGCTCACCTGGTGCAAACGGTGTCATTGGGAATGGCATGGATGGGAATACCCTTGAAGGAAGCACGGCAGAAGGCGTCTGGGGACAGGGCGGTGCTCTCCGTTGTGGTGCTAGCTGTGGTGATTGGCTCTGTGGTTGTTGCCTGCTCAGCGCATGTGGCACTTGTCACTGCTGCATTGCCGCATATCTGCGGCAGATACATGTTGCACACCAGATCGCCAGTGCAGCTGGACGTCATGTTCGAGGGCCGACGACCGCCCAGGCACAGGGCAAAGGTGCGTGGCCCAGTGCAGGCAAAGACGCCTTGCTCATTGCACTCGCCACAGCTGCCACAGGCTCTAAGTGCTGGGCTCTGGTTGCAAATCGTCGACTGGCTGGTGCAGTAGCTGCCCGCCGGGCAGGAGTTGATGGGTCCAATTGGCTGATTGTTTGCACAGAACTGAAACTGGCTTTCCGAGATGCAAGCCACATTGCTGACCGAGTTGCAGACGTAGCAAGCAGCCCCAGCGTCTCGGCTGCACAGCGAAATCCCAAGGAAGACGACGAAGAGTAGACGCCGCATCTCGAATTGCAACTGCAATGCAAACTAAAATGCAGCAGCTCTTAAAAGTCAGAAGGCAATTGCAATCTAATTGGGGGAATAAATATCAGTGTAAAATCTAGTTGATCTTTATGGCCTGCTGATAAGCAGTGCTGCCAGTTTAGCCAATTTCAGGCTAGATCTAGGCTATTGGTATTAAACTCATTGAAAATGAGCAAGGGAGCGAGAGAGAGAGAGTGTGTGTGTGTGTGAGAGAGAGAGAGAGATTGTGTGTGAGAGAGAGAGTGTGTGTGAGAGACAGAGAGGGAGAGTGAGAGAGAGAGAGAGAGAGAAAGAGAGAGAGAGAGAGAGAGAGAGAGAGAGAGAAAGAGGGAGTGAGACACAGAGAGAGTGAGAGAGTGAGAGAGAGAGAGAGTGAGAGAGTGAGAGAGTGAGAGACAGAGAGAGTGAGAAAGAAACTGAGAGAGAGAGAGAGAGAGAGTGATAGAGATACAGAAAGCGAGAGTGTAAGAGTGATAGAGAGAGAGAAAGAGAGAGAGAGTGATAGAGAGACAGAAAGCGAGAGTGTAAGAGTGATAGAGAGAGAGAAAGAGAGAGAGAGAGACTCTGCCTGTCTACATTCTACCACACAGTCAGTTTCTCAGTCAGTCCACCTATCAAAATCAAGAGACGAAGAATAACTACAGAAGATCACTTAAGTTGTTTATATGTATGCAGCAGTTTTCATTCGGGTAAAGCGAAGCCACAATGCTGCAGAGGGTGTTCCCATTGGTCACTTAGAGTTCGACCGGCACGACCTCTACCTGCCGTCGGGCTCAACATTTGAGCGCGACTTAGCGAGTGAGTGAATGTCTCCCTATATATAAAGGGCAGCAGCTGCAGCATTTCTTCAGTCGCTCAGGCCTGGTAGGGGTCAGTCGTGCAGTACAGTACAGTGAAGCGAAGGGAATTGGGTGTAAATTTAATGATCGTTCAGCTAAGTACTAAAGACTTGGAGGAAATAGAGCAAATACTCAGAAGAAATATTTACAGGAAACTATTAGAGGAAAGAGGGATGGGGAGACAAAATATAATTAAATCGCGTTTTTTGATAAGGTCCTGATTCTAATATTATAATTATCACTGTAATCGTCATTATAATCATACATTATTTTATATATATCACTATCATTATTATTTGTTATTAATGTTGTTATTGTTATACTCATTATTAGTTTAATTATGTTTTTTATTGCATTTATAATTATAATTTATACATTCATATAACCCTAAACTCTAGCTGTACAATTAACTGGCGCTACGTAAACGCAGCGCTGTGTAGGCGCGTCGAAATAGGCATTCGCAGAGCACTCATATTCCACGCCTCTTATTTGGCCTGCCTTGTTGAAGTAGCAGCTGATGTAGCTGTAAAGATAAGGTAAGATTAGCGGGAGAGCATTTGGCACTTGGCTGTCTAATATTACGCACCGTCTACAGTAGATGTCACGTGGCTGGGTCTCGTAGAGTCCTGTATATGCCTTCAGCTGGCAGAGCTGCTGCGCTGTCATGGAGTTGGGTGTCGGTGAGGGGCTAGGCGTTGGGGTAGGCGTGGGACTCGGCGTGGGGCTAGCTGTGGTGACAGTTGTCGTCGGCGTAGTTGTGCTGGTGCTCACCAGATCATCGTGCAGGTCACAGGTGAAAGTCTGTCCCACCCGCTCGGGCGTACAGACCACATCGCTGCTGGCATCGCAGGCGTAGCCCGGCGGGCAGAAGCCCAGCGCTCCCGTCGGCCGCGTCGCTCCATAGCACATCTGAAACGTCCTTCGGCTCTGGCAGGCAAACTTGTGATTGCGATGCGCGCTACACTGTCCACATTTGCTGGTATCGCCGCAGCTGGGCGGCCACTGTGCGTTGCTCTGCACACAGATTGCGGTGCGGGCGGTGCAAACGGTGCCCTCCAGACAGTTGTAGATGCGATCCGTATGCGGCATGCCATCTAGATGGTAAGACATGTCGCGATCAAAGCCGCAATCAACATTCGAGAGTCTTATAAATACCTCCGAAGCACAGGTAGAAGGAGGTGGAGTTAATGCAGGCAGCCTGATTCGTCTGGCAAACATTGCAATCCGTTACCACATGACCCACCAGACAGACAAAGAAGAGCTTGAATAGAAAAAAAAAATATATATATATATGCAATATGTTTGGTATATATTTATGTATTTTCTGCCTTACCGCCAAGACAATTTGTAGATCCTTGGCCATGGTTTCACCTTGTACTCCGGCGTTGTGTTCACTGTCAAGGTTTTGCCTCTACTAAAGAACATTAATCTCTTGTTCGCTGCATTATAAACGTTGTCTTAGTGAAATTTTCAGTGTTTATCTACTACTCTTCATATGCGTATATATAGATATCATTTTGGACATGCTAATTGTTTTATTTGCTTTGGCTTTCCACTTGATTGCCTGGCGCTGTTTTATGATCCCAGCATAAGAGCCGAAAGAAGAAGAAGAAGACGAAAAAACCTAACACTGCGATAATGAGCTGAATAGCACTCATCATCATAATGATACACCTGAGCTGCAGCCGGGCCATTGACCAAATCTTCAGAGTCAGCTTAGAAGAGTTTCGCTTGAGGTAAAAAGAGCTGCGGAAATTAGAGGAAAACTAGGAAATTTCAAAGTAAATTCCAAGAATACGATTAAGTAATGTAAGAGCTATATCATTAAAGGCTTAGCTATGAGTTAAAAAAAGAACGATTATACCCTAGGATGCGACAATTGATAGCAAATATTCTAGAGTAGTCGACTAACAGTAGCCCTGGAATATAATTTTATTTTGATAAACATTTTATATCCGGATTATCTCTTTAGTTAGTTTATAATATATTTGTTTTTAATTTTTTCCTTGAATTTATTATTTGCCTATAGCTAACGGGTATTAACCACTCTTTATTATACATTTAGTGTTATGTAAATATTGTTATATATCGATATTCAAATATAAAAATTTACTATGGCAATTTCATTACAGACAACCCACGCCGCTCGGTCGTGTTGCACCACAACCGGAGACGGCATTGAAGTACGGATTATTTGCATTGCAGTTGCGTATGGAGCCGTTCCACACATTGCCCCGGTAGAAGCAGTAGATGAAGCTGTAAGGGAATATCAATTATGATATAGATGCATATCATTATAGATAGATCGAAATCTGCGTATTACCTGGTGCAAACGGTGTCGTTTGGTATGGCGAAATTGCCAATTTTTTGAATGCCCTGGCAATAGGCAGTCGGATCAAAGGTCGGCTCAGCTGTAGTTGTGGTGGTGGCTATGGTGGTGGTGGCGATGGTGGTTGGCGTGGTGACGTCAGATGTAGAGCCTGCGGTAGGGTCTGGGGTAGAGCCTGCGGTAGAGCCAGCGGTGGGGTCTGGGGTAGAGCCTGCGGTAGACCCAGCGGTGGGGTCTGGGGTAGGGTCTGGGCTTGAAGTGCTTGGAGTAGGTGTTGGCGTCACTATATCATCCTCAACGCGATCACAGGAGTCTTCCACGTCCGGCTCGCATACCAAATTGCAGGGATTTCCATTTGCCGCACCTCTCACGCTGCAGTAATAATCTTTGGGGCAGATGCTTCGCTCGGGCAACAGCTGGCCGGCATGGCATGCGCCGAAGGTGGTGAGGGAGGTGCAGGCGAAAATCTGCCCAGCGTCGCATTTGCCACATTTCACGGTGTAGGGGCAGGCCGGCTCGAAGTCCCTCTGACAAATGCTGCCGTATTGCGTGCAAATTGGCGTTTCCTCCGGGCAGGTGAAGGTCAACGATGGAACGGGCTTTTCTGTGGGCGGCGCCGCATTCTGGTTAGAGATCGGCAGCAGCTTTTGCCAATGGCCAGTGTCAACTTACTTTCGTAGCACACCCGGAAGGTGGTGGTGTTGATGCAGGTGTGCGAGCCGTAGCAAAAGCCGCAGGTGGCATCCACGAGTGCTGGCGGTGCCAGCAAGGCGGCCAGCAGAGCCAAAAGCCCAACGCGTAGAAGCTGGGACATCTTCGGTTTCTAAATGAGCTGCCCGAATGCCGTTGCCATGCCTTTTAAATGCTGAAATGCTGCAGATCAGCCTGGAGCACTATCTTTATGACAGCGGTACAGGCGAAGGCAGCTGCCTTTTGCCTTATCTCTCAATGCTAGAGCATCCATAAATATGCTAGCTACCGTGCGACTGCAATCTCCTGTAAACATACTAAGCCCAACATAAAACCAGAAAATTATCTCTGCCAGCTTCTTGGTTTTGCCTACATCATTATCTGAGCGATCGTCCGATATAAATGTGTGGCGTATGTTGAAAGGTCTCATTAGTCAGCTGAATGCTCTGCCTAGATATTCACAATGCAGCAGAGCTATTTGGTAAGTTGGCGTCAAAGGGAAAGCTAATTTCATTCCTCAACTGCTTGCCGTCTCTTCCGAAGATCCTCCTCGTGGCGCTCAGCTTCCTTCTGGCTGTGGGTGATGCTGCTTATTGTGGCGGTTGCATGGAAAGCAAGGTGGCCTGCTATAACCGCACCCACTACAGGGTGTGCGTCAACAATGCGCCCATTGAGGGCGGCGGCCTTCTCTACTGTGGCGACGGCAAGATCTGCACCGATATGATGGATTTCTGCTGGCAATCGCTCCCTAACGATGGAATTGAGCCAGTTTGTGACGAGTACAAAGTGAACTGCAGAAAGTGCGATTACAACCAGATGTTCGTCTGCACCAGCCGCACCACCTTCCAGTTGTGCACCGGCTACGAGATGAGCCCCCAGGTCAATTACTGTCCAGAGGGCACCGTCTGCTCCATCGATTCCGGCGACTTCTGCGTGAAGCCCTGCAAGCTTCCGTATGGCAGATACGAGTGTGATAGGCTAGAGCCCGTTAATTAGTTTTTGTCAATTTCCTAATGTTTTTTAAATGGGATGCAATAAATAATAAAATATATAATATTGACAAAATTGGAATATTTAAGATTAATTTGGGTACACTTATAACTTACTAGATATTGTATATATATAATTATATATATGTCGATTATAATCGAAATGGATATCGATTTTAATCGATTAAATTGTCCGATGATCATTAACAATAGGTGGATATATTGACTATATATATTATATGCGAAACAGCAAACGAATTCTGATTATCAAATGAATTATAATACAAATAATATTTACTTAATATACTTCTCAGTGGTTCCAAGTTCTCTTGATTAATAATATTGTGATTGTCTATATATTTAAAAATATATTCCTATGTATCTTTACCTAGCAAATATCAAATTTATTGAGGCTTGTGCTTAAGAAAACAAATTGGACTATTAAACTTGAGCACTGCATGCAGCGAGATAATATATAATATATCATAATTTATAATAACACAGTATATAGATATTAATAATATCATATACATTTTCATGCAACTCAATTAGTCTAAGCTCCTTATATAATACAGTCATATCATGTAATTCTCTTCTCAGTTCATTCAAAACAATTCGCGTGAAAAATGAGTCGACCCTGAATTTTGAATATGGTTAAAAACCCTTATAAATAAAGCTCTTATCAGACATGTCAGCTGTTTTATTTTCTTTTCTAGTTTTCGGCCAATAAACTAGCTTGGGGTGGTTCGCGTGGTTTGCGTGGTTTGCGTGGCTTGCAGCAGCGAACCAAACTGTTGAAAGTAAATAAATTTATTAAATTAGGCTAACATTGACCCAATTTCAGCGCAGCTTTAATCAAATTAGACAAAATGCTGAGCTGGGCCCGGTGTTGTCATAGCTTTTACTATTATTCTATTATGTGGCTGAGTTTTCTTTTATGTCGCAACAGGCCAATTGCCTGTGGCACTTTCATGCTCGAGTTTTTTGTTGCGCCCACAGGCCTTGCCCAACATATAATCGATGCGAAGGTGTGGAAAAACAAATTCGCAACAGGAAGCGCACACACAAAAAAGCTGACGAAACGTGAATAAATAATCTGTATACATATATATATATATTTGTTTGTATGTGCACCACCCACCCATGTCATTGACTGCATTGCTGGCTGATTGTGGCGCAACTAATTGCTGTTTACCACTGCCGCTGCTGCGGCTGCCGCTGCCACATTTTGTTATTGCAATTAATAAACAACTAAATTTTTAAGTATTTCTATTTCTCGCTCGCAAATTGCGGTCATTAAACCTATTTCCATGGCAAGTTAGATAAATTGTCGCCTCGCCGCAGCTGCGTGCCACAACAGTGACAAAGCGCAACGCGTGCGCAACTCAACAGCTAACATGGTCTACTCGCAGCTGCCGCTACGCTGCGTATACGTCATCTCCTGCAGCCTTTTCGTCCTGGCTGCAGGCAAAGTGCCCACAGCTGCGCATACGAATAGCTGGCGCGATCTGTTCTTCGGCAACAAGTGGCTGACGCCCGCGCCCTCGTCCTCGCGCCTCAGAGAATCCAAATGTGGGTGTGCCAAAACTGTGAATTTTCCTTTAACCAAGTTGATCTAAAACAAACAACAAACAAATCCAAAAACAAATTTCAGTTTTGCCCATATTCACACTTATGCCCTATGGCACGAGCAGCTGCGCGGCGCCGTCCGGTGAGCTGGGCAATTGCATGGCCAGCAAGGATTGCCTACTGCGCAACGGCATACCAGCAGGACCCTGCGGCGGTGGCTACGGCGTCTGCTGCGTATGTAAGTGATATACCCGCTCTGCCTATATAGGCATAACTACCAGAGGTCGGCAAGTGGAGATCAATTAATCAACAAAGGTTGTGAAAGAGAGAATATGTGAGAACTGTTTTATTTAAAGAGTTAGAGTGAAATTACTGTTGTATGTTGAGTGAAAAGCTAGAATGAAGCTGAGCTGAGATAATCATGATAGGTTTTTGTACTATTTTTGCATTAATGCTGGAGCATTCCCCAAGAGCATTTCTCTACATCTGCTGCATCAAGTGTTAAATACTTTTTAATTAAAAAATGTTCAGATATCTCTGAATTTTTTGGCTTGTGAGTTATAGTTCTCAAGCTAGTTCATTACATTACCATACCTTGATTATGATAATATATATATCGATCGATTGCGCTGTTAAAGCTAGAGAAAAGCCAAAACCAAGAGACCAACCGATTCAAGACAGCTATAAATACCGCTAGCAGCTCAGGACTAGAACTGACTTGAAACTAATCAATTTTCCAACACTGACACCAACTCCTTTCTCCCATGCAGTTCTGCAGACCTGCGGCGGTATTATACGCGAGAACTCCACCTACTTTGTGAATCCGAATCATCCGGATGTCTATGACGGCACCGGCAGCTGTCAGGTGACCGTGCAGAAGATGCATCCGGATATATGCCAGCTGCGCCTGGACCTGGACATGTTCTCCATAGCGCCACCCGAGCCGGCCAATCATCTGTGCAATCAGGATCAGCTGCTAATATCGGGCGGCAGTCCCACGCCCACCATCTGCGGCAGCTCCACAGGGGATCACAGTGAGTGGTATTGAGGAGAGAACGCTGACTCGAGTTACTTATCATACGCGCTTTTCTCGCAGTGTACATTGACGCTGGCCTGGGGCAGAGCAATCCCATTGTGCTGTCCGTGATAACCAGCGCCAGTTTTCCGCGTCTGTGGCGCGTGCGCGTCAGCCAGATCCACTGCGGCAGCATCAGCCGTGCGGATCAGGGCTGCCTGCAGTACTTCACAGCCATCAGTGGGCGTGTGCGCAGCTTCAACTACAACACGGTGGCCGGGCGACAGCTCTCCAATCAGGACTACAGCATCTGCATACGCAACGAGCGCAACTTCTGCGGCATTCAGTACAACGCGTGCCCCGATCTGGAGAACAATCGCTCGCGTGCTTTCACCATAAGCGGCAACTCGAACAATCCGGTGCCCACTCTGGTGGGCGGTGGTGGTGGTGCGAACGGCGGCTCGCCCACCAGTGGCTGCACCAGCGATTGGCTGCTCATCGGCTGCATACGCTCCGCGGATCGCATACCCCCGCTGCCAGGCTGCGAGGATCGCGTGTGCGGCGGCACCTTCAGCGCCGAGGCGGGCATGTTGGCCAAGACAGTGCAATGTGGGTAGCCAAATCGACACTAACTGAACAGCTTCATTAATTCTTGTTTCTTCTTGCAGCCAGCGTGCGTCCCTTTCGCCTGTATTTCCACACGGATGGCGTCGAGGCGCCCAATGACATCGACAATCGCGGCTTCTGCCTCGACTACGTGCAGCAGCCCTGCACGAATGGCTTCTGAATGAGATTTGCACTTCGACTCGAGTTGTTTTATTTTTTAATAAATATTCAGTATGTATTTTATTTATTCTTGTAGTTAAGTCTAAGGCTAAGGCTAAAATTAAAGTTTAAGTTAATTTCGTAAGCTCGCAGATCGGTACAAATTAAAATCTTGGGTTAACTAAAGTTGAATTTGCAATTCTAAAATATATATTATTTATATATATTCATATATATCTATAAAATTTGTTTGGCTATTAATACAGTTGCTGTCTCACAATCAAAAACATTTCCATTCTCAATTGTAATACTTAGACGAAGTAAAAACAAACAAAATCCAAATATATCGAATAACAGGAAAATTAATTAAGAGAACTTGTTTAGATTTTGCTTTTTGTAGGACTGCGTCGTTTTCAGCTTCACTTTGCGGGGAGATTTGGGTTGCGTGGGGTGCATGAGTGAGTGAGAAAGAGAAAGAGATACGCGCTGTATCCAGATTTGATTTGCTGCACGTGAGATCGCCAATTTCAGTCTGTGCATAGCCCGACTTGTGACGTCACTGGGTTGGATTGAGTGTGGGTTGGGTAAACAGTTTTGCCCGGTTCGAACTTAGCTCTAATAGGTTTGTATCAACGCAGCCACGTGCTGTTTCTCCTCCTCGCTGAGGCCGTTCTTCAGCGTGCGGCGCACTGCAAAAACACAAAAGCAAAAATTAATGAAATTGTTTAGGTAAAATGATTAAATCTTCAGATTTCTCTCTCATGCAATCAGAGTTAGGCGCATGCTTAGTAAATGCTTATAAATAAAATCGACT